CCACCGTTCACACCTCCCACCCTCCCTCCACGCTGTCCCTCCGCCTAGCCTTCTTCCTCCTCCCTCCTCAGGCCTCAGTCCCCGCCTCCTTCCCCTCCTCCCCAGCCTGCCTCGCGTTCAGCGCTCCTCCAGCCTGCACGCGTGCACCTCCACCTTCCTTCACCGCCGTCTACACAGTTCGCCCCTTCCGTGAAGCCTTTTTGGCCGACTCCAGCTCCCGTGTCCCGGTTCCCCCCGGCGCGTCTTCGTCCGCCGAGCACATAGTAGGCGCTCAGCAAGCCCTCCCCAGGCTCTAGGGGGAATGAATAAGCCTGTCTAGCGCCGAGCGGCAGTGCCGGCTTGGCTTCGCGGGGTGTTTGCTGGGTATGACCTTCTCCTTGGCGCGTCTCCTCCGTTCCGCCCTGAAACTAGACTCCTGCGGGACCACGATGTCCCCTTCCCTTTCCTTTTTTAGCCACAGTCTAACTCCCCACTTCAGAGCCTGAAGGTGAAGGCCCTTTTGCCCTCTTCTCTGGGCTCTTCCACCTCCTAGGGTCTGCTCCATCATTTTTCTCTCTTTACCTCAGGCCACAGCCACTCCCTCTCGGGGCCCTCCTGCTCCCTTTTGCTCCTGCCATGCCCTCCGTGGTAGACTTGCTGCCTCAAAAGAAGATCCCCTGACCTTTTTCCTTCCCCTGTCCCTGCAAGGGAGCTGCTGCTTCCCACCCCGCATGGGGCTGAGTGCCCTGGCCCCAAAGGCCAGCCAGGACCATGTGGGTATTGGAGGGACCCAGGAATGGGATAAGATCCTCTGATTGGAACAGCGTCCCCCTCTGCCTTGCTTTCTATCCTCAGACTTTGCTCTTCTTGGGGCAAGGAAGCAGGACAGGGACCTCAGCACCTACCTCATGTTGGTTTAATATTGAAGACTCACAGTGAGTTAGGAGAATATCCAAAAAAAACAGTTAGGCACTTTGCCTAGGAAACACTTTCGGGTGTTGGCTGCAAGCCAGACTCAAAACATAAAACACAATCTACTGTATTATCAGGCCATTGTCCTTCCATCCTTTCCAAGTCTGGTTTTCCCGACAAAAAGAGCTTCAGAGCAGGATAGCTTTATCTAATTCCAAGCTTTGTATGGTCTCCACCACAGGCCTGAGGCTCTTCGAGTGCTAATTAATAAAGAACAGCAACAAACAGGAATTAATTCTAGGGCCACTCCATTCTCCTTAGGTGCTTTGTTAAATCCTCCGCATCATAACCAAGGACCATTAAGGATCAGGTTGTGGGGCTCCTGGCAGAGACCTCAAGTTCCTATTTCCAAGGAAGTGAGAACGAGGTTATAAAATTCGGTAAATGGCTTCATTAATTGCTCCGGTTTTCATGCTGAACCTCAGTTGGCAACGTGGCCTAAAGGGGCCCTGTGTTTGCAAAATGACCCTCTTTCATGACTGTAGCCCGGCCAACTTCCACACCTGAGTCCCGAATTCCTCTTTTTCACAGGTAGGAGAGTCCAGTAGTTTTAGGCCCCTGGGCTGTAATTGCCTTTACTGGCCCCATCACCCTAGGCCACTTATGGAACCACTTTGTGCCTCAATTTCCATTCACTGAAGGGCTATCGGTTATCCTCCAATTCCTAGGGTGATGCACTTGTAAATGACTTGAATTTTGTGGAACCCTCTGTAGCATCCTCTGCAGAGAAAGTAAATGAATGCTACCCATCATCTTTACCCAGTTCTACATCCGAGTGCACTGGTCCACATGGGGGCCTACACCCTTGAGTTTAGTGCCCTCCCCCACATCTACATATCAGTCCTACCCAATCTTCAGGTCCCCTGTGACACTGCTGGCTCCCCAGCCCCCAGCCCCAGCTCCCAGAGCTTTCTCCCTCCTCTGAACTTCTATACCAGTTACTGCCTGCACTACTCATTTTATCCTGAATCACAGACTGCCTCCCATTGTTCTCACATTGTTAGTCCTGTCTCCCACACTCAGATCTCTGACAGCAGGGGATGGGTCTTAATCTTTTCTAGTCCCCTCCCCCCACCGCACCTAGCAGAGCGGCAAATACTGGAGGCACTGAGACAGAGGCTAGGAGATTGTCGCCCCCCTGGGTAAAAGGGGAGCAATAAATGAACCGAAATGGTGGGTCAAATTTTAGAAACCCGAAAAGACTCAGACAAATGTCCCGATCGTTTCCTTGCTGGGACACAGGCCAGGGGCTTCTTGTCTCCAGTGACAAGAGCAAACGAACTTTGCTCTCTAAGTGGAGATTTGCAGGACACGGTGAAAAGACAACCTGGAATCCAGCTCCCTTCAGGGAGACCATGGGGGAAAATCAGCTCTCCCTGCTTCAGCGTACTTGAGTAAAATGAGGAGGTCGAACTAGAATGGTTTCTAAGACATCTGCCAGCTCTGATAGTCTATGATTCTCAGAACTCAGCCTTCTAGCCTTTTCATCCAAATCCAGTTTGAATCTAAAGTTGAAAGCTGATCCACCCGGCCCCAGCCTCGGCCTGCTGGTACAATACCCTAAATTCTTTTGTCCAAAGGACCTTCCCAGGTGTGAGCTCAGCTGTCCTCCCGTGGCAGAAATTATAATATCCTGTGTACCGTGGACAAATGGAGGCTCAGAAAGGTGAAGTGAGTTGCCCAAGATCACACAAATTAGTAACAGAACGAGGACTAGACCAGAGTCTAGTCTTTCTAGAGAAAGCTCTTTCTCTTTGACTTGGCCATCTGATCTTTTCTCCCCCTGCCCTTTCTATTTTTCCAGTCCACTCCTGTCCCTCTACCCACAGTCTAACCTGAAAGTCAAACGCATGCATGACCACCCACCAGCAAAAAACAATGCACAATCCTGATATTATATGAAGTATTATCAGTAAAAATAAAATGCATGTGTATGGGGGAAAATGAAGAGAGAAGCCATTGTCTTCACTATCTGCTTACAGCTTCTCCCCGCTGCCAACTCATTCAACACCAGCATTCATTCCATCCATATTTACTGAACCTCTGTTCTGGGCATAGGGGTATGCTAGATGTGTGGGCAGTTTCTGCCTTCAAGGAGCTTAAAATCCAGCTCAGGGGACGTGACTCCGAAACAGTGAAGGTTAGATAGCAGTTCTTGTGGGAGGTATAAATAAATACAAGGAAAGCAAACAGGAATCACCGCCACAAGAGCTAATCTCACACAGTATCGAGTGAGCTGCCCAGACAAGGGAGGGCAAGAAGAATTCAGGGGTAGTTCGACACCGGGCAAAACTCATGTATGGGGAGAAATGTCCAGAGGGTGGTAAAGGGAAGCAGAACTTGTCACCCCACCTCTTTGGCATAAAGTGTAGTTTAGGCTGATTATATTTTAAAAACAGCCGACACCAGAAAAGCTCTGAAAACTGAGAAGTTACCCTTTTGTAAGAGACATTTACAAGGGAAATCTCTATTTGCCTTGGGTCCTTGAACTGCTGCCTTGACTTGCTGTCCTCATAGTTGGCAGAAAGGTACAAATCCCAACCTCTCTCTATTTTACAAGAATATGACTGAGATAAAGAAGATTACACAGATGAGGCTCTTTGTAATCTTGCTGATATAGAATCCAAAAGATTATCATCCTTATATCTTAAATAATGGAAAAGTCATGCTTTCACAAGGGAAGCCACTTAGAAGGACACGTGTCGTCACATCCCTACTAAGAAAAGAAAAACTTCAGTGACAGGACACATACACATATCCCAAAAAATGGTCTTTGGTTTGGGGTAAACTAACTTTGAACAGAAACTGACATTATTAACGCTTTTATTTATGATCTGGAAATCCTGAGCCAAGTTGAAGAAAAAGTGCAAGACGAAAATTTGGTCCTCAAGCTTCCAAATGTAAACCTGCCCTTAATTCCATTCATTAACCATCAGTGGAAAATGTTTTCTTGGCTTGTGGTCCCAAAGCTACCGCTTACTCTGTCATCAGAAATTCAATTTGGCATTATTTGGCTATTTAAATCATGAAGCAGTCAGGTGGTTGTCTTTTGTCCAGGGGTTCCAAAAAAGGTCCATAGTTAAATGTCCCAGGCTCAGGCAGAGCCAAAAATTTGCTGTGGCATACTGGGCAAAGGAGGACACTCTTCAGGACCTGGGCTGCTTCCTCCACCCTTGACAAACCCGGTATTATGTTGAAAGCACAGGGGACTGGTAGTCAGGACACCTGGGCTGGATTTGACTAGCTTGGGCCAATCGCTCCCTTTCTTGGGTCTCAGCTCTGTCTTTCGGAATCCAAAAGGACTTCAGTCACTGCCTCTAAATTCCCTTCTGGCATCAATATTCCCTGAAAATAATGAGGGAGTGTTAATGTGGGACAACTGGCGTTACACAGTCTGGCAGCAGTCTGGAATCCTAGATACCCCTTTTCTTGTCTATACCATGATGCGGTAATGAAGGAATTGCTTCATTGAATAGAGGCACACAGCCATTCATTGCAGGCTAAGTTAGTCACAGGTGTGTGGAAATGGCAGACCCAGCACCTTCCTGAGGGAGGCTCATTTCTCCTGGCTGTATTTCCTCATATCCTTCGTTACTGTTTGTTTGTTTTTTTAATAAATACGTATTAAGGGACACTATGTGCCAGGTAAAATGTGCAAACAGGTATTTTATAGCTGAGATTTTACAGAAAACATCTTTCGAGCATTAGAATCATAAAAGCACATTCCTTTTTTGGGCAAAAGTTG